TGTTCCTTTTTTTTCCTTTTCAAAGCTAATGTTATAGCCTTATAGAATTCTGTTACAGGCAAAAGGGGAATGTACTTCACAAAACTACAATTTATTATTAGTTTCAGCAGTGCTCCTACAAGACCTACAGAAACATAACAAATATAAGAAACAGTTATCCTGCATCCAGCTAGTGATATTAACAGCTCAAATAATTGAATTGTTGCTAACCCTCATTAATAGGTTTGTGTAAAACAATTATATTGCATTTTCAGTATCTAGTTCTTTACTGTTCTGCTCAACCTTCCTTGTCAGCATCCCAAGTTCTTTGCTGAACAGAATACAGCATTAATGCTGGGGATTTCTTCCTCCTCAACCCTGGCTGTGTTTTTTTAGAGATTTCAGTGTATTTGTTAGTATGGCTTGCTCATGCATCTACTTACACAACTGCTTGAATTTATCAGTTTGCCCCACAAGGAGAAGGGTTAAAATTGGGGTGAAACATCTTAGTTATAGGTAATCTATTAAAATGAGGTCAAAACAGGTTAGAACAGCAGCCACCTGGGCATTTTAGGTTCTTTGTCCATTACATCTTGGACAAGTTGGGCAATGTGTGTTTTAGCTTAAAGGGAGATGCAGAGAAAGCTAAAGGGTTATGGATAGAGGTAAATCCAAACTAAAATAAGCTCAAGTTCAGACAAAGTCTGACAAATCCCGTGTCTGAGTGTTGTTAAAAGGTTTGAGGACTGTTGTTAGTCCTTGGCACCACCCAGCCTGCTGGGCTGCAATACAAATACAGGCAGGTTTTCTGCCTCTCAGACACCAAACTACAAGCAAAAGAACTTTATAATCGGAGACAGTTTATAGCCCAACCTGCTGTGCTACACATGCAGGAGATGGCTTGGATTTAATGAATTCCTAGGCAAATGCTGGTATTCCCATTTCCTGGATGAAATACTTGAAAGGCTTTTCCAGGCTAGAGGAGAAGGGTCAGCCTCTGCTGCTCCCTGGAACAAATCCTGAGGTCACTGAGTTGTTGTCAGAGAGTTTCCACCTCCCTGTTTTCTTTCTTCAGGATTTTAGGCTTTTCCTGTCTGGCCTGCTAGAGCAGGTAACAGCCCACATCTCACCAATCCTGTCTCTGTCTCCAGTTTCACCTTTTCCTTCCTGCTATTTCATGGCTGCTTCTCATAAACTGACAGTTTCTTCTGAGGTCTGAAATTATGCAGGTTATGTCTCTATGAGAAACAGGCCCTGGGTCTTTGCATCACCTGCACCTCTGAGAAGAGGGAAGGGGTAGAATAGGGACATGGCACTTTTGGAATGGGGTAGCTCACTGGCATTCCAAAATATTACATCAGAGAGAAGTCCTGATACACTAAGTATATCTATTTTTCATAGTTTGACTTTGAATCAGGGATGTTTCAATAGTTGAGAACATGCCAGAGGAGTTCTCAGGAAAGCCTCCGTCCCAAACTGATCTTACAGGACCAGAATATGCAGCAACTTTTCACCTGCAAGATGGGAATGCAGCAGTTTAGAAAAGGTGTTATTGGCATCATAGCTTTTTGTTTTGGGATTTAATGATGTTCTGCTTCTACTATTTCTCTTCTCTCCTAGAGGCAATGGGCTGCTTTGATATTACTCCAAGTGGTGGAACAATTTGACAGAACTTCTTGAAATTCTTGATACTGGATACTGTTGCTTCTGTTCCTGTTCAAATTTATTGTAACATTCCCTTTGTTTTTTCCCCTTGTCCAGGTTTTGTATTGACTCAGAAAATAGAATTGGTAGCAATGGAGTAGAGGAAATAAAAAGTCATCCATTTTTTGAAGGAGTAGACTGGGGACATATTAGGTATGTATATACACATGTTTTACAGGGAGAATAAAAGCCATGAAAGCAAGAATTTCATGTAGTGCGATGTCAAGGACAATTATTTCCAGTTTATCTTTCATTTTAAAAGGCAGCTACTGGCTATAGATGGGGGACATTGAAGGTTTCCAGGCTTTGCTGACATTCATAGGAATTATCAGAATTTAACTGTCTTGAGATACCTCAGATTGCTCCAGACTGCGCAGAATGGAAAAAAAAAAGTTGTAGGGTGGCTGTGGATTTAATTGTAAGTAGAGTAATTAGAGCTGTGGTGAGTTTACAGGTGTAAATCACTGCCTTTCCCACAGTTCTGTGTCCCAGTGTGAAGGTTTTGGTGGAACAGATTCCTTGGGCACTTTCAAAAACTACCTTAAAATTCCTTCAAGGGCTCCCTGACTGTAGAGGTGCTAAAGCAGAGCCAGCCTGGTTTGGGAGAGAGCTGCTGAGTGTCACAAAGAGGAGCTACAGTGCAAAGCTTTTGGATGAGGTCCAGGCTGATGAGCAGGGAATTGTAAAGTTTTGGGTGCAAGTGCAATCGTGCTGGGCTGTGTTTGTGAAACAGGCAAGCCACAGTGGTGGCTGGTGACAAGATCATGGCCATAGCCGTGTGGCAGGTAAGTGTGGGATGCTCTCTCACTTAATGGGAAAATGATGTTGGGGACGGGGAACCAAACAATCTCCCCACGGTGTCAGCAAACAGGAGAGTCAGATTCATCTGTGATGCACTCAGTGGAACCCTTGTGCTCTGCATTAAGGGAAGTTGTAGGTAAAAAGCTAAGTTAAAACTGGAACTTAATGTCTCATTTTCCAATATTCACTCTTCTGACATTTATCTTTATTTGCAGGGAAAGACCAGCTGCAATCCCTATAGAAATCAAAAGTATTGATGATACTTCCAACTTTGATGAATTTCCTGAATCGGACATTTTACAGCCAGGTGAGACTGCCATTATAAATTCCAAATCTCCATCTGTGACATGCCAGAATACTGCCCAGATGCCTTTCTTGTTGTTTATATTAATTTTTATGATGCCCCAATCAAGTTAGCATCTAGATCAAGTCTCTATATTTTCTTTGAAATTTGAGTGTGAACTTGTGATCTCTCATAGCTGCAAAGCCCAGAGTGAGTCAAAGCCATTGGTAAAAATGGTTTGCACAGGTAGTGAACACAGAAAGCAGTGGAGTTTTCTGCCAGGCAGTCTGTCTAACCAGATTCTGGTAAAATGTCATGCACTGATTTGCTTTTCATCTTCAGTGACTTTTGAGGTTTGTGCCAAACATAATGGTTGAGATACTTGTGGGTAAGAATTTTTAGACAGTTGATTACTTAACACAATAATTCATGAACCTGAGTGGCTCTGTAAATCACTTCAAGGTTTTTTTTAGGTTGGTTTTGTGACATACAAATATAAATACAAAGTTCCACTGTTTTCAGTTACTTGAAGATTGGCAGATGTTTAACAGCAATTAACTGCTGTCTGCTAAGTGTAGCTGTGTTACCAACAATAACAATTATCCAAAAGCTGTTGGTTATTTTTTTTTTTTCTGAAATGGCTTTTATTTAATGGTGAGGAAGTTTGTCATTTTGATACAAAGCAACCCATCTCCAGTGCCTGAGCTGGTTAAGTCCATACTTGGATAATGCCAAGAACATTTGTATTATGTTGGCATTTCAGACCCACTGAAAATGGTATTGTACATGTAGATACATAAAAATCAGAACATCAGTAATGTCATGGGGTTAGTAGTTTTGTGTCCTGTAGGTTTGTTCGAGGCTTCTGTCAAGGTATGGAAACCTAATAGAGTGTGTAAACATAATGAAAAAGAAAAGGAAAACAAAAACTCCTCTCTTTGGAGTTCTAGCCTGAAATTATAAGTCAGACCATTGACAAAAGACAACTGACCTGATTAGAAACAGGATTTCTTCCAGGAGTTTCTGCTGACTAAGGAAATAAAAGTTCAGGGCTGTTTAGCTTTGTGAAAAGTCCTCTCAGAAGCAGGCTGGGTTTAACTGCTTTAATGTGTGTTTGCTTTGGTTTCTGAATTGTAGTGCCAAACACGACAGAACCTGACTACAAATCCAAAGACTGGGTTTTCCTCAATTACACCTACAAGAGGTTTGAAGGGCTCACCCAGCGTGGCTCCATCCCTTCCTACATGAAAGGTGGGAAGTTATGAAACAGAACACAACCCCCAAAGGAAATTACAAACACAAACCTCAGGTAGCTGCATCACCAGGCCCGCTTGGCGTTAGTTATCAACACATCGACTCTGGTGCGCATCGATTTCACATGGAAATTCTACAGGATTAGGATTTCTAAGACTACTACAGGAATTAGTTGGCAGTGCCAGCTGGCTTTTTTTTTTTTTCCTTTTTTTTTTTTTTTTTTTAATATTTGAATATTTTTGTTAACTCTATAATACAAAGGTACTGGAATAAAAGGAATGTGCATCCCTTTTTCTGCACTGCCTACATGTGGATAACGGTTAATTATGCCTCTCTGTACTGTGGCTTTGTTTGTACTGTAAACCATCTAATCCACCCAGGAGGGAAACATATCATTTGATGCAGCATTGTTGTTGTACTGCTCACCTGGTGGGGTTTAGATATGCAGTATAAAGAAAACTGTCCACATTTGCAAACCTCCCTGAGCAGTTGCTCAAGGGTGTTCCATTTGTGGTCTGCAGAACCCCCATGAGTATAGCACATGGAATTATTTTAAATAGCAGTGTCCTCTGGGCCTCCTTGTGTTCTGTGTGCCCTCTCTTGCCCCCAGTGCAGGACTTTATCAGCCCTTTATCATCATCCCTTTTGTCCCTTTTCCCACAGTGTTGTGGCAGTGAAGCAGTCCCTGTGATCTGTTTAGTGGTATTTCTGCATTAAATGATTGTTGGCAGTATTGCTGTTACAGGTGGTGATGCCTGACGGAAATTTCAGAAGAAAAAAAGGAATCTGAATAAAAAGTATCAATATTTTTAGCAGAAGGGAAGTGTTCTGATACAAAGTTTTAAGGAGATTGCAGAGTTTCCAGGAGTGCATTCCTGCCTCTGCTCTAAAGCAGATCTTTGAGCTGCCCATAATTCAAACACTTTCTTCTCTCTCTGCAAAATATGTTCCAGAGAAGTGATCAGATTGGTGCTTTTCCTTTTTTTTTTTTTTTTCTCCCTGAGCAGCTGCAGGCAGAAGTGATGATCCTGCTCTGACCTCTTCAAAGTCGCAGCCTCTGCTCATGTAGAGAAAATGGAGTGTCCCACTAGATTCAGACTCTCCAGTGGGCTCCTTTTCTTCCAGGATCTCTACCTGGCATGGCCATGGGATTAGAAGGGATCAGTTGAGCCCTGCAGCCCGATTTCCAGGGACCATCTAAATGTTCTTGTGGCCAGTCTGCAGGATGGTGACAACCTGACAGCTGAGCCAGGTCTTCCCATAGGCAGAAACAGAAGCAAAAATACATGTGCAGGCTCTGGTTTCGTTCATCAGCGCAGCAGCAGCAGTTCAGGACTGAGTTGTACTCCCTAAGCAGTTTGCAATTATCTGATCACTGGTGTCTTTCTCTGCCTGTACTCACAGCTAATCTGAAGGGCTTTGAATCTGTCAAAATACAGCAGAGATCTCTGCTGTCATTTTCTGGTCAAAAGAGATGTACAGCAATGAACAATTCCCCAGTGGCTGAGCAAGCAGAGTCACTGTTGCTGTTTCCCTCCTCTGAACACCAGTGAAGGGCACCCTAAAACCTTTGCAGCCTCCTCTGAGTGGAGCACAGGATGTTTTGGCATACAGCAGGAAAGATTCCACTGGACAGACTTTCGTAGCAATATGGAACCTACTGTAATAAAGCCATTAGAGAAATATTTACTGCTGTTAGGCACTATGGTATCAGCTGTTCTGAATTAGTTGTATGCTCTGAAAAACCTACTGGGATCTTCACCTGTTGCATAAGAGTCCATTTGCCAGCAAGATTTCTGAGCATCAGTGCCTGTGATGGACAGGTAGTCTTCTGTGATCCAGCCAGGATCCCTGATCCAGCCTTTCCTCCATGGTTTTGTCTCCCTTGAAGCATCTAATACCTGTTATTTATACCAAACAGTTTCAGTCCTCAGCTCCTCAAAGAGGAGTAGCCACTGCCTCAGGCCCATCCAGTGTTATATCAGAGCAAAGCTAAGCTGAGCTGCCTGAATGCTGGACTGAGGTGGGAGCAGCTCCTTGATCTTCCAGATGTGCTTTCCAGACCTTTCACTAATTAATGTCCCTGTACTGCTGCTGGGGCAAGGTCCTTAAAAATTCTCCAGTTGTTCTTAGCCTTGTCAGTGTGCTGAGGCTCAACCTGTGGCCATCCAAAGGCTGTACAAAAACAGTAACTCACTTTAATCCACCTTTCAAGCATTGTTCTGCTTGTGCCCCAACAGCTCCTGAGGCTTCTCAGGAAAGGAAATGTCTTTCCTAAGGTCTTGACTCCAAAATAGGGAAGGTCAGACAGAAAAAAAATCCTGAGTTGCAAACTTGGTACCAAAGGACACTGCTATTCAAAACTATTTTCATTGGTTTTAATTTCCAGTCTCATCCATGGGGCACTGTGTGCACTGGAATTGGAATTCCTGCAAACACCACCTTTCAGAAGAGCACAGAAACCCCATTAACATGACCTACAAAGAAGTCTTTGCTCAAACTTGTTGAGACAAGCTCAGTTTCATGGAAACTGCAAATGCTCAGTGATACTGGTGATTTATTTTTTCCTGTGGGGCTTAGGGGAGGGCAGAGAAACACACACTTAATTTAAAGCTATCTATTAAACAACTATGTCTGTACATACTCACTGGTTTACAAACTCGGGAAAAAGCTCAACCCTTCTACTTGCAACACTAAAGATAATACTAATTTAAAACTGCAGATGATTAATCATATCAGTGCTCAAATAGGAGTTATATCCATAAGGAAACAGCCTGCAGCCTATCTAGCATAAACTCCTGTATTGTGGTAGTTGACTTTTAAAATTTTTTTTGTAAACATAGCATTATTTTAATCAATAAGTCAAGTTAAACAATATTAACTACTGCTTTTAGGATGATAGGGTTTTATTTTCAAGGTGAAACTGTGACACTGTAATGGGTTAAAGAGAACAGCAGGTTAATCTACACTGGCTTTCAAAAACAAAAAATGGAAGTGTAACATATCTTTAATTTTGTTATTTCTGTCCGATTCCTTTGGATGGTTGTGTGTTTTCCTTTGGCAATGTTTGTCACTGTGCCATTTAGTTTTCTTATTCTTGGAGTACCAAAGATCCTGAAATGGCTTGATGATTGCAACCATGTGAAAATTTATTTTCTGGAAGTATGTTTTGTTAAACTTTTGTTAAAACGTGAAATTGTGTATGCAAATTGTTATCACAGGTTTGCTGGGACATTTACCTATTCCAGCAGGGAAAACTTGAGTGCATCGATGGAAGTGGAGAGCCTGAATCCAAATTCTGGATCAGAATTCCCTGAAAGTGGGGAGGAGGCTTGGATTGGGAACTGCAGCTGAGCTTTTGCACTTTGTTCCATCTCCAGTCAGCATGAGTGAGTGGCCTTAGGTACAGGACATCAGCAGAGGTTGTTTCATGTGCAAAAGGAGTTAAAAACAAAATTGCCAGTATTCAGAAATCAAATCATGTTGATACTGAATTTGCACTGTTCAATTTGCCTTGCTGGAGAGTTAAAGAAGTGTTATTTTTATAGGTCAATTGTTCCTCACCTGAGCCGTTGGAGACAGCCTGGGATAAGGGCACCTGCTGGGGGGAGTTCAGCCGGGGCACCAGGAATGGGCACCAGGAACAGCACCCAGCTCTGCTGTCAGCTCCTTCCCCTGGTGACATTCCTTGCCCAGCAAGCAGGGAATGCTGCAGTCTAGCCCAGGTGATGCTTAGGAAGTGCTCTCACTTTCTCCATAACACGAGCAATTACAAGCGTTGTAACACACCGTACCTTGTCCTTTTACTGTTGGATCTCACAGCAGCTCGTTCTTGGAGTCAAAATGGTAACTGCTATATTTTTCCTAGACTGTTTCATTAGTTGTGGTTGGGAAAGTTACATAGAAGCATTATAAAAATTTATATGAGGCTTTTTACAGCATTTGAAAATAAATGTAGCATTCTTTTTGTAAAGTTGCAGTTTTCATTTCTTTCACCTCGGTGTACTGGATTTCTCTTCCAGAATGGGAGACATCTAAGGACTTGAGGTCCTATTTTGTGGATTCTCATCTTGAATTCCACGGACAATGAAACATCCCACTGTTGTTACACTCAATCAGAAAGCAGAGAAAGCAAACACTGTTTGATTTATCCCACCTGCAGTCACATGAAGAAGCTACCTCTCAAACGGTTACTGATCTTCTCCAGAGTCTTACCTCTCCCATAGGCTGTCATTTATCCAGGAAAGGCTTCCAGGGGCAGTTGTGTCCTTTCATCTATTATAGAAACCTTTCTGTCCTACTGTTCCACTTTCCCTGCCAAGTTCAGAGCAGCAGCAGAAGCAGTGAAAGTTGTATTACACAATGATCAGAGTGGAGCAGCTGAAAGCCAAGAGAAATGAGCAGACACTGCCTGGCCTTGTCTGGAGCGCTCCTGAGAAGAACAGGAGGCCTCCTTCCCTCCACTCCAGAATTGCTGCTCTCAGTAAAGGTAAAAATACAACAGAATTTTGCAAATTCTATTTAATGTGATCATCCTTTTCTTCCCTTGACTGTATATGATTGTATGGCAGAGCTACACATTATAAGGAAATACAGATTTAGTTCTTTACCTCCTTGCATTATCAAATCAGTTATTCCTCAGAAAAAGCACTTGAATGGCAAATACAAAGGCTATGCCTTCAGCATGATTAAGCCACTTTTTAACTCTTATCTTAGTTTAGGGTTTATAAGACACACTGCAAATATCTACGTTTTTCACTCCTTTGTTCTTGTATGAAGTATGCCTGGTACCTAAGCAAAACCATAATGCTTTAGGCAAAAAAAGGTTTTTTTCTGACAATCTTCCTAAGGGATGAGTATCCAAAACTGTCTGTCTTGGGAGTGAGGACAATAGTGGCATGCAGCTCTGGACTAGGCAAGGATGTGTTTGCAGTTTGGAAGGGCTGCCCAGGGAGGTTTGGAGTCTCCATCCCTGGAGGTTTTTAAGGAAAGACAGGATGTGGCACTCAGTGCTCTGGGTTGGGCAACAAGGTGGGGATCAGTCACAACTTAGACCCAACAATCTTGGAGGTTTTTTCCAACCTTCATGGTTCTGAGATTCCATTTCTCTAAAGTAATGTGATTCATCACACAAATAAATTGTAAATATCAGAGAGGTACTAAAATGCCTGTCCCATAACTGAATTTCACAGGTGAAAGTGGGTTTTAAAGTCCAGCCTGTGAGTCATGCTGGTTTCAGCTGTGCCAGGCTCTGCAGCGTGGAATGCCTGTTCCTAAAATCCACCAGGTTCCAGGTGCATTAATATAGGGACAGCTGAAGGGCAAATTGGTGTGTGTCACACACTGAACTGGCACCAGGGTTTGGACACTTCATCACTTCATCACTGTTGCAGTGGGTGTGAGAGGAAATTAATCTCTCCGAGAGAGGGAGTTCATCCCACCACCTCCTGCTCCTCCCAATGCCACTCCTCAGGTTATCTGAGGCCTTGGAGGTCCCTGTTCCTGGGGGAGATGGGGCACACAGGATTCAATCTCTTCGTGTTGAGGAGGAAACAAGCATAGGTTTCTCCTTTCCAACCAAGCCCCAGCTCTGCTAGGAACAGCTTGTTTCAGATCTGAACCAACCCTTGGTGGCACATCTTGTTTCCATACCAGCTGCTTTAATCTGTTTCTAGTGAGACACCATCTGCTGCGGCTTCTCCCTCCTCCAGGAATATGTGCTGACTCTCCATGCTGTCCCCAGGCAGTTCACTTCCACTGGCAGCAGCTCCTTCCCTTCCAGGTGCCTCTGCCCATCCTCCCTGCTCCAAAGACAAAACCTTTGCCCTTGTCTCTACAAGGCCTTGGAACTGAATAATGAGAGGGCAGCTTGTCAGCAGAGTGAACGCTGAGCCCTTGAAGCTGTTGTGTAAAAGTGTAACCACAGCCCCTGCTCCACATCTTGAAAGAGAAACTGCATCTACAGAGAGAAAATGTTACAGACATATGGAGCCTTCCTTCCTTCCTTCCTTCCTTCCTTCCTTCCTTCCTTCCTTCCTTCCTTCCTTCCTTCCTTCC